TGTTCAAAAGTCTAATGACAGTGGGGGAAGATGGGACCTGACCTGTTATATCACTATGACATGCTGATGTGTGATAGACCGATGATCTTGTACAGTCACACTGTGATACCGAGGCTGGCTTCCAGAACTTAAGGATGAGATGTGGGTCACCTCCTTCTGGAGAATTCAAAGAATGTTTGTTACAGCTCCTGGTACTTAGATCTGTAATTACAGTGAGAGGCATCACAACTCTGGGTCAAGCTAAGCAATTCGAGTACACGCTGGAGCATACTTCACTCAGCATGCCACGCTGCAAGGGAACAGAGCTCAGTAAGACGGAGACCCAGAGCTTCATACCATTAGGTCAGATGTAATGATACAGCAATAGCTGCATAAGCATATTCATTAAAGTTGTATTGCGCATTTGCTGCGAGATATGGAATTCCCTCCCTAAGGACATTGTAGGTCAACTGTAGTGGTTCAAGAAGACAGCTCACCCCCACCTTCTCAAGGGGCAACTAGGGATGGGCAGTAAATGCTAGGCCCAGCCAGCAATACCCACATTCCACAAATAAATTTTTAAAAATTAACATAACACAGCAGGGTGGCTGTGTTTGGGTCAAGGGCAGCACCGGACCCCTGCTTTCTGCTGCTGCCCCAAACCATTCTGGTAAATGAACTGAACACCTCCCAAGGAGATTCAGGTCCTTTCTGAAGGGTGGGGACCAGAACAGAATATGAGAGAATGCAGCATTTCAGGTGTCATTGACAGTGAAGGTGCAGCCTCCATACAGAATCGTGTGAGTGTTAAACAAATCCGAGGATGAGCAAAACGTTTGAGGATGTACTTGTTGTATGGATCGTATCACTGGAGAGCAGTCCCTCTGCAAACGGGGAGTTTGCCTATAAATGGAACATTCTCTGAAGAACACTGAGTAAATATTTAGGCAGTGTGTTTGAATGGAGCCTGTGACTTCTGTTTGATTTGAAACAGTTTATGAATTGACATGAGTAACGCATCACAGAATACACGGTGCAGGACTGAAATGATCGAAAATCAAGGCACTTTCTTAAATGTATAAATTATAACAGACCTTGATCTCAGGGGAGTTGAAAGGTTTGACCGGGATTGGGTGAGTGGGAGGTGAGAAAGAAATGTTTTGTGTTGAAGAGTTTTCCTTTGAAATCTTCAGTTCCAGAAGCTGTTTGGCAGCTCTGTAACGTACTACATAAACTTCATTTGAGCTGCTGAGATGCTTCCAAGGATTTGGTAACACTAACGCTTCAGAACAAAGCCAGGAGTTAGCAGCTCCACTTTAAAGCATGTCAGATTTGGATTTGAGGGCACTATGCTAAATGTGTTCTGTATCATGTCAAAATCCTGCGCCATAGAACAGAATCGTCGGATTTTACAGTAAAGGAGACCATTCAGCCCATCGTGTCTGTAAGAGCTACCCAGCTCGGCCCAGCTTCCATCCCTGTCTCTGTAGCCCTCTAAATTAACCACTTTCAAATATATATCCAACTGTCTTTGAATCCTCCCGGGGATCCACCCCCAGAACTCTCCCAGGCAGCACGTTCAAAATCCTATCAACTCTCTGAGTAAAGAAGTTTCTCCCTATCTCAGTCCTAGCTCTCTTGCTGACAATCTTGAAATAGTGACCCCCTAATTACTAACATACCAACTAATGCTTTTGAACATTTCAACCAGGTCACCTCCTAATCTGCTCTGGTCCAAGGAGAATAAGATCAACGTCTCTCATCTTTCCTTGTATCTAAAATCCCTCATTCATGGTATCATTCCAGTAAATCTCCTTTTGCACTCTTTCCAAGGCTTTAACATCCTTCCTTCAATAAAGTGCCCAGAACTGAACACAATACTGAAATGTGGTCTGGCCAATGATTTGGAGAGGTGTAGTATTGCTTCCTTGGCCAAAATGTCCAAGGCCCAATGGTGAGCTGTGGAACACAGTAATTGTGATGTTAATGTGATGGGAATTCAGAGAATTTGAGAGGGGAGGGTGCATTTTCTTGTGGAAGCCCACAAGCTAAAGACCTTAATTGCCGTATATAAAATGGCAATAATAAGTACAGAGGAAGATCCCATCACTTGTTGCAGGTACATAAGATGTGTGAAGGCCAGCTGCTGTACTTTTGAGAAATAGTAAGAACTGCCAATGCTGTAGTCAGAGATAACACAGTGTGGAGCTGGAGGAACATAGCAGGCCAGGCAGCATCAGAGGAACAGGAAAGTTGACGTTTCGGGTCGGGACCCTTCATCAGAAAATGCTCTTCTGATGCTGCCTGGCCTCCTGTGCCCCTCCAGCTCCACACTGTGTCATTGCTGTACTTTTGACACTTGTTTACTGAGTAAATTGTGAAGGAGAATATTTTGTTGTAATTCTTTTCCCTAAAGCCCCCTCTCTTCAAGGCAGTTATTCACACTGGGGTGTACGGTTCAAGAGATTTGCCCAGTTGGCCATTCTTCATGTATGAACTGGCGATAGAGACTAAGCAGGCCCATTTACTTGCAGATTCTCAGCAGTGTTACACAGGGATCGGTTCTGGGTCCTCTTTTGTTAGTCATTCATAGAAATAATTTGGATGAGAATACAGAAGACATGGTTAGTAAGTTTGTGGATGACACCAAAATTTGTGACGTTGTAGACAGTGAAGAAGGTTTTCTAAGATTACAAAGGAATCTTGATCAAATGGGTCAATGGGCTGAAAAATAGCAGATGGAGTTCAATCTGGATAAATGCATTTTAGTACAACAATCAAGGATAGGTCTTATACAATTAATGGTAGGCCTTCGGTAGTGTTGTAGAACAGAGGGACCTGGGGTGCAGGTACATAATTCTTTGAAGTTTGCATCACATATAGCCAGGGTGGTTAAAAAGGCGTTTGGCACACTTACCTTCATTGTTCAGTCCTCTGAGTATAGGAGTTGGGACGTCATGTTGAGGTCGTACAGGACATTGGTGAGACCTCTTCTGGAGTACTGTCTCCAGTTCTGATCACCCAGTTATAGGAAGGATATTATTAAACTAGAGAAGGTTCCGAAGAGATTTACCAGGATGTTACCAGGTGTGGAATGTTGTGAAGAAAGGCTAGTTTAGGCTGGGACATTTTTCACTGAAACATAGGAGGTTGAGAGGTGACCTGATAGAAGTTTATAAAATAATGAGGAGTATAGACAGAGTTAATGGTACTTGTCTTTTCCCTAGGATAGGGGATCTCAAGACTAGGGGGCAGTTTTTAAGGTGAAAAAAGAGAGGTTTATGAAAGACATGAGGGGCAACTGTTTTACACAGAGAGTGGTGAATGAATGTGTGGAATGATCTTCCTGATGAAGTCGGGAATGCGGGTACAATTACAGTGTTTAAAAGACATTTTGATGGATACATGAATAGGAAAGGTTTGGAGAACATGGGCCAGATGCCTTTTAACTATAATTGTATCATTCTCCACCACTTCCTGTGGCAGCTCATTCCATACCCGCACCACCCTCTGCGACAGTTGAACTCAAACTTGCTGATTCTCAGTCGGACACAACTTCCTTAGACCCAGCATGAGTGGACACTCAAGTGCAGGATGTATCACAAAACTCAAGATCAGTGAGCCAAGAAAGAAACCTTGGATTTAGCCTGTCCATTTATTGCAAAGTTCACAGTATGTGATACAGGCACCGACTGAGAAACACAGACCTGCTGTTGGAAACTTATAGAAATAATGAATTTCTGAAGGGTCCCGACCCGAAACGTCAGCTTTCCTGTTCCTCTGATGCTGCCTGGCCTGCTCTGTTCATCCAGCTGTGTTATCTCTGACTCCAGTAGTGGCAGTTCCTACTATCTCATAGAAATAATGCTATTGTGTTAAACTAATAGGGGAACTAGTGGAGTGGTAAGGATGGGGAATGTTTGGAACTCTCTTCCACAAAGGTCAATGGATGCTGGATCAGTTGTTAATTTTCATTCAGAGATAGATAAATTTTTGTTAACTAAAGGTAAGGGATATGAGCCAAAGGCAGTTATATTGTGTTAAGCCATAGATCAGCCATGATCTCATTGAATGGCAGAACAGGTTTGAGGGGCTGAATGGCCTACTTCTGTTCCTTCATTCCTATTGAGTAATGTCCCTGCCATTGAGCTAGAAGGTTGAAGTCCCACACTAGGACCTGATGCTGAGGAAACTGTGCTGGTAACACAGCTAAGCAGGTTCAGTAAGAACTTATAAATTCCTCCGACGCACTCCAATAGTGGGTGCTGAGTGTGGTTGAGATTCCCGGTCAGGTGTGTGATAGACTGTCTCGATGTCTCTATCCAAAACTCCAGACTACAACAGACATGTATAAATGCACATTGCCACAGCAACGCAGGCTCCCTGGGTGACCTGTTAAACACCACTCTCCACTAAAACAACATCTGAGCAGTAACTTACTGAAAATAAGGGTGTGGTCATTGCAAGTTTGGATATGTTATTTTCTCTATTCGCTAAAACGAGCTATAAAGTCCAGATGCAGTCTGCCTTTAGCAGTGTGCCTGATGAATTCAAACTCTGCAGGAGTTGCTGGCATCCATTTTTATTGGACTAGCAAACTGATTCGTCATAGTGAAAGCAGGAGTATAAAGAATCTACCATTACACCCCACATTAAAACAGAATACAGCAGACCCATTTATTGTGCAGTGGTGACTGTTTGACATTTGTAGGAAGTCTGCTTTACAAAGGATTTCCTTTACGTGACGGTGCCAGACTTTGCTGGCTATGTGAGTTCTCATCCAAGCAGTTCCAGCCAGCAGCTTCAGTGTACAGTGTTGTGAGGCTGTGCCTGTGGAACGATCCAGCTTTCTCCAGTATGTTCCCAGCAAAGTCTTTCTCCAGAAAATAATCATTTTGGAACGGGTCTCATTCCTTGAGAATTCAGAGGGTGGGTGTCTTTTCTGACGGGCCTGCCTTGTTTGTTTCCTTTGTCACTGCACCTCATGCTGCCTGGATCTGACTCTTTCTGTTCTCTTCCAGATGACAGAGGGGCGGCGATGCCAAGTGCACCTCCTCGATGACAGGAAGCTGGAACTTCTTGTTCAGGTAAGACAGGCTCATCAGCATTTTACATGGAGTAACGCAAAAGCATTCTGTAGGGGATACTGGACAGCAGAAATAAAAACAGAAAGTGCTGGAAATACTCAACAGGTCAGACAGAATCTGTGGAGAGAGAAATCGAATTAACGTTTCACGTCAATATCTTCTCATCTGTTTCTCTTGACACAGACTTGGTGAACATTTCCAGCACCTTTTGCTTTTATTCATCAAGTGTACTGTTGAAGCCATCGCCTCTTCTATTTGGGTGAGGACCTTTGAGTCTCAAAATGCTTGTTATTCAAGACCTTAAAGACACATGCGCACACGTGCACACACACACACACACACACCCATATACACAAGTACACACACCCATATGCACACGCACGTACATAAACCCATACACACACACACAT